ATTTTTGGAGCGGAAATATTGCATAGCCAGTCAGTGATAATGCGCACGCATCGCTTGCGCACACGCTCAGCTTATGCGAACAATCGCTTTCGCTCGGCTAGGACTATACGTATACATAAGACCAAAACCGCCTTGAGCTGAGTTGACATTGTAGCCTTTTATCTTCTCTCAGTCTTTTTGTTCTTTCTTTCTTTGTGTATTGGGGAAGTAAACCGACATGAATGTTTTGATAATAAGAAAATGGATATTTTGTTTATGGCATGATTCAAGTTTTAAGTAAACAGTCAACACGCATAGCTTTCTCCCTTCTGCAGTAGTTTCACTCTATTGTCCATCCCAACCGGTTCGTACCATACTATAGTACTTGACTTCAGCTGGTACTGTCTACTGTTCAACACGACGGATTTCCAGTCGTTCAAACCCATAGCTGCAACGAAGGTCACTGGCTTTTGTGTCCAGATAAGCTGATTCACGAAGGGCGTGTTAACACTGAGTTTGCGCAACTCGGCGAGATTCAAATTTGCGCAATTTTACCAGGAATTTTGCAAATGCGCCCCTCTCTGGAGTGTCAATCTGGGTATGGTTGCGCAAGTAGGCCTCTCTCCAGCAGAGACCCACTGACCCACATGCGATCGTCAGTGGTCCTGGAAGGATCTTCCACCTCCCAATGACATCTCTGGATCCTTTGTGTATGATGACTCCACTGTTACAGAGGTTCATCTTGTAAATTCATGATTAGACGCGTTACTTCTCTATTGTCATGTCTTTAACGCGGATTTTCTTGTCGATATGTTTCCCAGCCTTAGAGATAGAAGCCGCTCCATTGACGTATTTGCCGCTCGGTAAGTTGGTAATGAATCACGCTCAGGGAGATCAGCCGAATGGGACTTGTACCGAAGAGGAGGTGAGTCACTTTAGTTTTGCAGGTACTTTGAGCGAAGATATTGACCACGAAAGTACTTCCCAATTTCTGTCTTGTTGAAAAGTGCCATTCATTGCCTTGTGGTTCCACGATCAATTTCTGAGCGATATACACTGTGAGAATCTCCTATTTGTCCTCCTCGATGTACCCTTGAAAAAACGTTTGTGAGCGTTCATTGTATGACTTTCGAACCATTCCTATGAACATGACCATTTGAAATGAACTACTTGCTTGGACAAATACAAAACATATCATCCATTTCTACTTCCTGACCAGACAACTGTAGCGGTTCATCGTTGCGGTGGCTATGGGTCAGGAGTTGAACCGCGCGGCGGCCGTTCGCCGCGCTGAAATTTTGTGCCTCACAAAAACTCTCCGGTGCTAAAGTGGCACGGCGTCACAGTAGGAAGTGGAGGGGGGAGTGCAGATACATGACTTGATGCCATAAGTAACTTTGCGAGAGGAATACTGACGGGTGCATCACCCGTCAGTACTTCCGTTGCAATGTTTTGCTTGAGGTCGCTTAGCGGCGTCGTCTTGCGAGAAATTGTGATTGTGCGAACGGTGCGAACGCTTTGCGCGTATCTTCACCATTGTAAATCCTGCGCCTCATGCGCTCTGCGGCTAATAAAGCCGCGTCCGCGCCCAAAAATATTGCGCATTTGTCATGCAGCAGCCATACTTCATCAGCTTTGCTATGGGTCAGTTCAGTGATTTACAGCGTTGATGAAGTGGATCAAGTGGAGTGGAACAAGTGTGGCGTGCGCCATAGTTGCGTTTGGGTAGGACACGGGCCTGCACGGTGCAGTCCGCGCGTCGTCCAACCGCGACCAGTCCGCGAATGCTCAGTATAGGCTGATGCATGACGGAAGCGCACTACGTTTGGGCGCGAGCACGCCTTTATAAGCCGCAGAGTGCATGAGGTTCAGAGCCGCGTTCGCACCAGCTCAACTGATACTGCTTCTGCGCCTTCGTCCTGCAGTAGCCTTCATATTCCGATCGATTTCAAACTCGATGAATTGGTTTCGATCACGGACCACTGGCCTTCGACCATCTTCCATCATTAGCTCGTACGTCCGCGCATGCTTCGCTTGCATGATCGACCGCCCGTCTCGAAGTAGTAGCCCTTACTTCGTCTATGGCTAATATGCCAGAAGCCCATAAAAAGCAGCGTCCGGGCACATCAGAAGCCGGCGTGTGGAACGCCCATCTTGGTGAAAGCGTTGCGGTGCGCACAAATGAATGCGGCACTGGGTCGTGAGCAAACCAACTGTATCATTTGGTCGCGCAGCACACTTCTGCGTCTGAACGACTGGAAATTCCCTGTGCTACCTTTATAACTTGGAAATTTTGCAGTTTTATGGCACCGCGAAAAATATCATCGAAGCAAAAGAAAGTCATATATAGACGAAAACGAAGTTTACGCGATAATCTTAATAATGCTGTAAGTTCTTCTTCCTGACTTCGTTTGAATCATAGCTCATTTAAGTTGCACATGGAAAGCGCCGATGTTCAACGGTAGTGCAAAATTCGCTTAGCTGAGATTTATTTCAAAGAGCTTATCTCGAAAGTCCACCTTAAAGGCAGTGGTTAGGGGGATTGTGATTGCGAGTTTTCCATCCCTCCTTGGCCTTTTAGCGTGAGTCATTGCTGTGTGGAATCTCGCAAAGTAGTCAAAAAATGCTTTTCTGGCGTTTTCCGGCTTTGGAGATTGCTGAGGGGTCGGAGGAGAGATTTGCGCCAAAGACAACGGCTGCTGCAGGAGATATGGGCGAAACCACTCTGCCCTTTTGGTGGCAATTGGCTGGTTGGTGCAGGTGACCAATCGCGCTCATTTGGCAAGAATCGCTAGTCCCTCCTCCAGAATTAGTTAGCGGCACGCCAAAACCGAATATCCCGAAATTTTGACATGGAAGGTTGCTTGCACCCTGCTTGCAAAAATGAGAACAAAGCAGGTCTGGGCGCAAGCATGCTGCCCTCGTCTAGAAAAGTTACGCGCAAGCCATTCTAATGCGCGCGGACGAGCTTGCGATTCTTCCTGACCTGTCAGAGAAAGCATGCCGCAATGTTACAACTGCGAGTGTCCCGCAACGATTCTGCCTCTCTAACCACGGCGGACGTGCTCCACTCGTCCAAATTCAAAGTGGGAGGCCTTGGGAAATGGTAGTTTTTGCCATTTTCGCGCTCTTAAGGTGGATCTTCGGAATCAGCGCCTCGAATACTCCAGGTAAGCAACAAAAAAAAACAAGTCGAGAATCTGTCGAGCCGCTGCCTTTAAGGTCATCGCCATGGAAAGCACTCTTGACAACTTTCAGAGTTTTGTCCAGTACTGGACCCAATGTGTCCCGAAGGCGGAGGACGGAGGGGGGGGGGAGGGGAATTGCAATAGCAACTCAAGCTATTGCCTTCAAGGAGCTTGGAAATGCCGGAACGATACACCGACAAAACGCCACTGCCATAGGGTCGAAAGCACTTTTCAGGCTTCTTCATTTTAGCCCATGGCAGTGGCGGTCCCAAAATTTCCATCCGAGGGAAGGGGGCAAAAAATCTTCAATTGAGGGCGCGTGACGTTATCCATGCACTCCAAAATAATTTTTGGGGTGATTCTCAGGATTTTTGCGGGCCCATAACTTCTGCATAGAAAAAGCGGGTGTGGCGGAAGGCACACCTTCGAAAAAGAATTTTCTTTCGCAAGGCTAATTTGTATTTTTAAAAAGTTTTGGAAATTATTTTAGTTATTTACAAGGACGAATAAGTCACTTGCACAATTTTATAACATGTAAGTAAATTTCAAAATTTTTTAGCCATGTGGCGGAATAGCGCCTATGGAGTGAGTTAGCTCCGTTGTGTTATTAGAACACTAGCTTTAGAGCTTTATTGAGTCAGACGACCTGCATGGGTGCAGAGTAGAATCTTATATATAAAGCTGAATGTCTGTTTGTCTGTCTGTCTGTCTGTATGTCTGTATGTACGTATGTTCCGAATAGAAAATTCCATTTCTCAACCGATCCGGACCAAACTTGGCACACATACACTTCGGGCCCCGGCGGGTGTCATAGGCTACTTTTCGTCATCGATCGATATCGATTTTATCGATTTTTTGCAAAATTTGAGCTACGGGGCTGGGACTTGGCACAGTGGGGTAATCGAGCATGCTGATCACCCCCGTGGGGGTGATCAGCATGCTCGATTACACCCCTCTGCCAAATTCCAGCCCCCTAGCTCAAATTTTGCAAAAAAATCGATAACATCGACATCGATCGACAACAAAAAGTGGACTGTGGCTCCGCCGGGGCCCGAAGTGTATGTGTGCCAAGTTTGGTCCGGATCGGTTGAGAAATGGAATTTTCTATTCGGAACATACGGCGGAGCCGGGTAAGCCAGCTAGTGCTCCATATAATGGGCGTGACAGTAGTATACATGCATCTGGCCTATGGAGATACTCAATCACAGCAGGTCATGCTTATGGCATGACCTGTACGGTACTTAGTAGTGAGTAAAGTGATACGGCAAAGAAGGGTGCCGACATTGTCGGCACGAGCCATTCTGCGGGGGGGGGGGGGGGGAGGGGGACGGTCATTCAGCATGTTACATCTTGCTGCACATATTACTAAAAGAAGCATATTCTGGTCTCTTCAATCACTCGGTCTGTTTTTGTAGGGCTTGCTCTTTCTATCAACAGTAATCGCCTATCCATTGATCTCTTCGCATTCCAGTCCGTTCTGCAGACTTTGTGTCTGACACAGCGAATTGTCTCTGCAGAAAACGGCGAAAACATGTTGACATTACGTGTGCATAACTTTTACGATCGTGTGTATCTTTGTGACAGTCAGCTGCCTCCCCTAGTCTTGACTTCTCTTTCATTCATTCAGAGAGTCATCTTTACTAAACTACTATCAAATCATGGGATTTGAAACCATTCCTGGTGTAAGTTTAGGCTTTTCTAGCCCCTGAATAATATATAGACTTGATAGACTAATTCTAGAGATCTTGTTCGCTTATCTTATTTCTAACATTTGCTTGTGTCAACTGACCAGTAATAACCGTGCAGATTAAAAAAAAACACACACAAATTTAGGCGTCTTCGGTGATACGCCTATTCAAATCAACCGCATCAGCCACCATGAAACCGCGACGGGTGGCAATAATCGGTTCAGGAAATTGGTAGGTTTGACTTCTGAGCTTTTCTGCTTACGGTTGCTAGAGATGCAGATATCACATCGCGCTGAGAACCCAAGCCTGCGTCTTTTCATTCTCCTTAGTCCTTGCTTGGCAAAGTACCAGCGCTATGCGCTCGTGAAGCCTCCAGCGATGCGCACGCACAATGTTTAGCCTAATCCGGGATGAAACCGACTGTACCGTCCACTCAAATTGAGGGTGATTAGATTCTGAGGCTATATACAGGGGTTTCTACCCAAGCAATAAACCAAGTCTCGCTTCAAAAGATGAATTCCAAAGCGAGCAAACCGCTTGCAAGGTAGAAGTAGTCAAGCAGGCCCTTCCCATCAGCATGGGTGTTTTGAAGAAAACAAGTTCAAACGTGGACTTAACTGTATCCAGAATTCGCAGATCTGCCCTACATTGTGAGCATTAAATTTGCTACCTTTAGGCACCCGCCATACTTGATCCGCTTAATCCACTTGATCCGCTTGATCCGCTTCATCATTGGTCAATTCGTTGAACTGACCAATAGTGAAGTGGATGAATGGATCAAGCGGATCAAGCGGACAACCGCTTCGCTATTGCTCAATTCAATGAATCGACCAGTGACGAAGCGGATCAAGTGGATTAAGCGGATCAAGTATGGCGGGTGCCTCATGTCTACCGTGAAGCTTAATCTCGGACTTGTGCCTTCAGACCACCAACCTCTTGATGGGCGTGGCCAATGTGCTCGCTTCTACCTTCTGAAGCGGTTTTCTCGCTGTAGAATTTATCTTTTACAGCGAGACTTGGGCGACCACTTAGTTAAGGGCCGCTATTATACTGGAATATCATCGGCCTCAGTTCGGCTGGATGGTGCCTTCAGCACGTTGTAAATCGAACTCTAGGCGAAATCCCACTGACGTTTCCCGGTGCGCGCATACGCACATATGCATTAAATCAATGTGCGAGAAATTTGACGTTTTTTCAATCATGAGAAGTTTTTTCTTTCAGAATCACATCTCATAAAGTCTTAAGAAGGTTTATAGATATCTGCGTCGTTTTCCCCTCCAATAAACCATGTATGACTATGTCTGGGGAATTTTTCTTTAAGGAAGACATCGTAATATTGGTATTTTCAGTTTTGTAAAAAATGCGTTCTGAAGTTAACTGAGTTCTGCATTACGTACAATACTTGTATCTCGCGTGACGTCTTTTTTCTCGTGGCATTCCGTGTTTAAGATATTTTCCACCGTTTTCCTCTCTCATTTGTGTACTAAAATGCAAAAATACAAGAAATTTGGAAATCAACAAAAATCATTGAGCTCGTTTCCAATTTTAGGGGAACAGCCATCGCTCGAATTATCGGAAACAATGTTAAAATTTTCCCAAATGATTTCGAACAAACCGTACGGATGTGGGTGAGTTCTTCATTTTTCTTTGTGATCTCAAGAGCTCATGGTAGAGAGTAAAATGCCTATTTCAGGTTTTTGAAGAAATGATCGATGGACAGAAGCTTTCTGAAATAATTAATACTCGTCACGAAAATGTTAAATATCTTCCAGGAAAAACAATACCGGAGAATATAGTTAGTAGGATTGTGATCTGCATGGTCAAAGCCTCATGCCATTCATAATAATTTGGGAACGTTTTTAGCTAGCGGTACCAGATCTTGTCGAATCTTGTAAAGATGCAAACCTTTTGGTTTTTGTCGTTCCACATCAGTTTGTCAGAAGTGAGTTTTGTATTTTTTCTCACAGGTGCTGGATCTATATTTCTTCAGACATATGCCGGCAGCTTGTGGGAAAAATCGGCAGCGACGTGCACGCTATCTCGCTCATCAAGGTACGGTTGCCATTTGATATCGTACACCTGAACTTTTTGTTTTTTGTCTGCATGACTTTTTTTCCTCCTTGGGCGGGATCTCCACTTTTTTCCATGTTTTCAAGACTCATTTTGGTTTTTGTTGGGATTAATCTGTTTATTTTGTCTTTTTGGAAACGAAAATAACACTTTTGCTTTTTTGCTAATTCCTCACTAATTTTATTGGCTTATGGCGTTTTTTTGTTCAGGGTATTGCGGCAATTCCAGATCCACGCGAGGAGGTGAATTATGAGAACAGAACAGGCTTTTTGAATGACTTTATTGGTTTTAAAAGAATAGTAAGGGATCTGAACCACTAGTCGAACAAGAGCGCTCACAGCAGTTGAAGTTTATGAAATTTCGTATCAATCGCTAACAGGAGATATCTCGTGGCTATCCAGAGACTGGATAGAATCATACTGGCTATACTCTTTGAGTATGCTTTCGTTGAATTTTGAGAGTTCATTTTGCTATCTGCTGTGAGTTCTGGTTTTGTTCAATTTCTATTCCTTTTTTTGATAGAATCTTGTGTTTTGAAGGTAAGAGAGTTTGTTGCAAAGTTCAATGGAAAATTCGCATCGTTTCAAAATTTCATCAGATCCCTTACACAACAGTGCTTGCATTCTTAACATTCTGATTGACCTGATGTGACTGCACTTTTTCAAATCCGCTTGGCGACGGAGTATGTCTAATTTGCTGTTTGTGTCCGTTTTCTTGCACGGTATGGACAGTATCTATATGGCGGCTACTAATTTCACTAAACAGAAAAATAGAAAATAAGTCAGCTGCTGTATCATACAAGCTGGACGTGCTCTGCTGCCAACATTTGCAAAAGGATTTGCGCAGTTGCATCTTGTGTAGTTCGACCGCAGGAGCGGCCGTAGATTTCGAAGCATCTCGGCGCGATTGAAATGTCCCTAGAGCACGTCTCGTACCATACGATTTGGTACAAGCGTTGGACCATGCGATTTACAAGCGTACGATCGCGCGGCTTGTGCTCCGCAATCTACGGCCAGCTCGTGCGGTCGATGGTTTGACGGTACATCGAAGTTCGACAGCGGGTATAATGATGTCTTGTATCCTCCCAGTGATACATTTTGCAGGGATGATAAAGGCGTGACCCGAAATAACCAGTGTAATTAATTCTTCTCAGTTTCACAGGTCCCCATCAGAGTTGCGACTGATGCTGAGAAGAATCATGTTTCAGATTTAGTGCAGAATTTTTGTGTATGTAAACAAGCTCCTATGTTTAGGGTTTGTCGGCTCCAAGTTCACAGAAGACGGGTGGTGTGAAGCTGATTTCGGAAGACATCCAAGAAATTCTGAAAGTTGAAGTCAGCGTATTGATGGGAGCAAATCTGGCCCATGAAGTTGCTAATGACGACTTTTGTGAAGCCACAATCGGTCAGTATACTTGATGTTTGGATAATGGAAGACTTCAGTTTTTTTTCATTTGATTTATAGGGTGCAAAAAGAAGTCGGAATATGGATTGCTGCTCAAAAAGCTTTTCAACAGTGACAACTTCCGAATCAACGTTGTTGAAGATGCACACACTGTTGAGCTTTGTGGTGCATTGAAGGTACAAAACTCTTCTTCTAAACAATCAATATTCATTGCATCTGGTGTTTTAGAACGTTGTGGCATGTGCTGCTGGCTTCACTGATGGTCTCGGCTATGGTGACAATACAAAAGCTGCCGTCATACGACTTGGTCTTATGGAAATCACTAAGGTAGATTTTACGGCCAATGCTCTAGCTCATTCGTCCTTTTTTTAACACAAATTTTTATTCAGTTCGTCGAGCATTACTATCCCGGCTCAAATCTGGAAACTTTCTTTGAATCGTGCGGAATCGCTGATCTGATCACAACTTGCTATGGAGGTCGAAACCGCAAAGTCTGTGAGGCATTTGTGAAGACGGGAAAACCATTAGAAGAGATCGAGAAAGAGCTATTGCACGGACAAAGTGCACAAGGCCCGTTGACTGCTGAAGAAGTCTATTACATGACCGAAAAGAGTAATCTGTCTGAAAGGTTGGTTCGTGGAGATTGCTATACAAAATAGACGATTTTTTCTGCAAATATTAACGCCCAATTTTTCTGGTTAGCTTAACTTTTACTGGATTTTCTTCGCACACGCGCTGTTTTGTGTTGATCAGAGAACTGTTACTCGTTTCGTAGGACAATGCCTTCAATGTTATGAAATGTGGATTTTGTTTTGCGGGGTCATCACTTTAGGGGGCCAATCATAGTGATTGGGTAAGGGACTCTAACGTGCGATTCAGTATCGTTGGATGTAATCAAACGAATTTTTCGCGCGATCAGGTTTGTGATCTTGATTCATTTATCGTAAATTCACAGAGAAGTATTTTTCAAAAGAAACTCACTCAATAGGCTCGTTAGACAATTCTCGGGCATTTTAGCTAATCTGGGTCAAATTTTGCGTAGCTTTATCGCATTTAAGCTTTGACATTGTTTGATATATTAATTTACAGCTTCCCTCTGTTCACCGCAGTACATCGAATCTGCAAAGGAGAAATGAAACCGAATGATCTGGTTGCGTGCTTACGATCTCATCCCGAGCATACGGATCTCATGCTGAAGTAGAAGCAGAATCTTAGCATTGAATTGTCATACCACAAGTCTTGAATAGTCTAAAATCGTGCCAGTAATCAATGTTAACATTAGACTCACATCTAATGTTAACGAAATGCTCATTACCTCCGCTTGATGAGTTTTAGTATTAAATTAGTTTAACTGATTGTATATATGCATGTGCGCTCATTTCGGCGTCTCGCTTTTATTTGGAAGTATTTGGTAAAATCTTTTTTTTCATTAGAGTACTCAAACTTTGTCTAATACGTGTATTGAGAAATGATGAAGTGTTTGATGGTGATGAAGGTTATTAATAGTTTGCCAGAGACTTAATCATCGTTAATATGCGGCTGGGCATGTACCTCTTACAAGCTGATCAAAAAAAACGTTCATAATATGTTCTCTACTATGGTCAAAGTGGCTAGTTATGCTCCAACTGTTATCACTAAAAGACATTCGGCCACGAAGTAACCTTTCTGGCTTTTGACCCATGGGGTGGAAAATAATTTGGTCATCTATTTACCACACAATATAGCTAGACTTTCTGGAGGTAGTCTTTCTCAGATGAGGGGCACTGTGCACATTAAACTCTAGCTTAAATCTATGTTCAACTGAAGAGTTTTAAGTCGAAGACACTGTTCTCTCCCTGAGCAGTATCACTGAAGCAGAGACGATGCTAAAGGAACTAAACGAAGTGGGGTTCGAAATGCGCGAGTTCTTCCTAGAAGTCGCTGAGGCGCACTCTCCGCAAGCTCGCAATCCTTCCAAAAGCCGGTCGTAGTCGTACGTTGGGTCCTCCTCGATGGGCCATCACAACTTGATATTAGGTCTTCCAGCCTATCGTCATAAACGACTTCATTTCTTCTTGCGACACTGTGAAAGACTTTCTTTTCCAGCTTTCACTAAATCGTATCTTCGCTCGAAGGAGGCGGTGATCGAAGCCACTGCAGAAGGATGGGAGATTACTGAGACATCGAGCAAGCTCCACCTTCGGTTGGTGAGAATGTCGTGTCTCCGCGTGAGTCGTTCCATGGGGCGATTCCCATGTCCACCGGTGATGTTCTTTCTTCAAGAAGATGGAATTTCCATGGAAAAGTGGTGCGGCGGAGAGAAGCTAAATAAAACGTTGCCCTTTTTGTTCCGGAGCTCATATCTAAACTTCCCGATCCTATATTCCTTTTCTAGTAGCGTCCCGATATTCGTGTTGAAGTCGCCCACGACGAACTTATGGACTCCCCGTTGCGGACGAGCTCCTCCACATCTTCGTAAAAAGCATCTACTTCTGATTCGTCAGCTGGTGATGTTGGAGAACAGCAGTTGATGATGCTGATGGTCTTCTTACGTGGAGGTCCCAGGGTGGTTAGTCGAGGTGAGAGGATGTCATACGCATCGACAAGATGGACGATAGATAGGTGGACGACAAAGCCGACGCCTCCCACGTTTCGTGATGGAACCTTTTCACCACGAATGATGAGGGTCCCATCGCTCATCTGTCGCACGTTCTTCTTCCTGGACTTCGTTTCATGCAGAACGATGACATGGTACTTGAGGCTCTGCAGCGTCGAGAAGAGCGTGGAGATCGGCAAACTGTCCCGGCGTTGTAGGTGCAATAGCATAAGGCAATCTTCAGGGCGTATCGTCCGGGCAGACGTGTCGTTTTTGTCCGATCCAAATGACGCGCTTAGGACCCTGACATCGTTCATGCTACCACCCGGTGCCGTAGGCGGGATCCGGAATACAGTTTTTTTCATAATCTCTTGCTGACGGAGTAATGAAAGTTTTCCCCTACAGTGCAGACTTACTAGGCCTACTGATTTCCGGACAGAGTTCACGCGATTTGATTGTCGCGATTCACGCCTAGATTTCCATTAATTTTCATTTTACATTCAAAAATTTCGGGCTGGAAAAGTATCACATCGAAATGCAAGCTGTCGGCATGCAATGAACTCGTAACAGTTGTCTTGTCGCGATTGAATCGTGACGATCAAATCGCGTGAACTCTGCCCGGGGCCCATGAGGACGAGTGCACTGATCGGTAATGGAGTGCCGCTGCATCCTTGCAGCTCCTCCGCTTCAAAGGCAGAGTCCGGGCAAGAACTTGATTTCTAGCAAATTTAATTTCCTGGGGTTATCCGCAACGCTGAATCCGAGAATGCACGTTATAAAGCTCGAAAACGCGTTGCATGCGAGTACGCGTTCCCCAAAGCCTTGCAGTTTGAATTTGGACGGTTGGAACAGTTCCCCCCCCCCCATGGTTGACATGCAGAGTCGTTTGGGACCCCGCGGCTTCAACAGTGGCCGTACTTTGCAGGAGCTGGAAATCAAGCAGGTGGAGAGGGCGGCCTCCAGGGTGTGAGTTCCCAACTTTCCGATCGTATCTCTTCTTTTTAAATCAACGTTATGGCCTCAAATTTGCGCGATGGCGTGTGGAGGTGGCCCATTTTCGCAGGGCAGTGAAACCCCAGAACATTCACCTTCCGGACACTGCCTTTGCGCTCAAACAATTCAACTCTCATGCGCAAGAGCTTGACCACTTAAAGGCAGTAGATCGGCAGAATGAGACCCGTGGCAAAACAAGGTCACAAGGTAGGAGCCCCATAATGGAACCTATGGGCCAAAGTTCGATCTTTCTCTGCCACTTCTAACCCCCGAAATTTCAAAGCGAAAGCAGCGCTCATCTCCTGTCCTCTCCGAACCCGCCCACCCCATGGACGAGTGACTTCCGCGGTCAGAGCGCCAGCCGCAATGCTATAAGCATGAGGTCCCGCAACGACTCTGCGTCTTCGCCATGACGGGCTTCTCGTTCACTCGTCCATAGGGTGGGCGGGTTCGGAGAGGACAGGAGATGAGCGCTGCTTTCGCTTTGGAATTTCGGGGGTTAGAAGTGGCAGAGAAAGATCGAGCTTTGGCCCATAGGTTCCATTATGGGGGCTCCTACCCTGTGACCTTCTTTTGCCACGGGTCTCATTCTGCCGACCTACTGCCTTTAACAGCAGTTCAGTGCGTGATCTCAAGACACGGTGATGCAATATTGGAATCTTACACGAAAAAGTAATCAGTGAAGGAAAGTGAGCATACGAGCAGATGCCGCCGCTATATGCAGCCATGTTGTTGGCTACGTACCAGCAGAGAGGGGTCCGGAGGAAATTGCGGCAGCGCGAATCTTAGGCCCGTATGCACGTACATCCCCGCTGGGGAGGGGAGGGGATCTGAGAGGGGATGCGCCATATCTCGCTACTTTACGTATCTTTCTTCTTCCTTTTCTATCTTGCTTATGAAGGTTCTCATACCCTACTACCTGCGCATAATTGATGCCAGGTTACTGGCATAAATGATTAGATTTGTACTATTTTGTGTGATCCCCTGGGGATCCCCAGCGGATCCCCAGGGGATCACCTCTCATTTTCAAAGTCATTTATCTTCCTGAGAAATCAATGGAAATGCCGCAAAATTGTACTGAGGATATACTACGGCACCACTAAGCATGTTTTCGATAGAAAAAATGGAATCTGAAGATTGTGAATTTTTCGATGATCCCTAGCTTTTGAGCCAGGGATTACCGAAGTTTTCGATATCCTGAGATTTCACTTATTTTTACTTTAAACATGCTTAGCAGTGCCGTAGTATATCCTCAGCACAATTTTGCGGCGTTTTTATTGATTTCTCAGGAAGATAAATGACTTTGAAAATGAGAGGTGATCCCCTGGGGATCCGCTGGGGATCCCCAGGGGATCACACAAAATAGTACAAATCTAATCAGTTATGCCAGTAACCTGGCATCAATTATGCGCAGATAGTAGGGTATGAGAACCTTTATAAGCAAGATAGAAAAGGAAGAAGAAAGATACGTAAAGTAGCGAGATATGACGCATCCCCTCTCAGATCCCCTCCCCTCCTCAGCGGGGATGTACGTGCATACTCAGACATTTGCATCGGGAAGTTCGCGGCCTCAAAGCGTGCTACATGGCGCGCCGCGGCCCTCAAAGTTTCAGCCGCTCACGCCGCGGCCCATGTATATTTTTACGGGAACGCCGCGGCCGAAGTCAAATTAGGAAAGAGCTTACCGGGAGAGTCGCGGCCCAATACCTCACTCGGCGTGCCGCGGGCCTTATCAGAGGCCGCACTTCTTACACGCTGTAGCTTAAGGCGCAACCCGCGTGAGGTACGCCGCAGTGATGGGGCCACCTTAAGTGTTTGTAGGGCTGGTAAACGTTTCTCGGGTTGAGTTGTGTGACAGTTGAGTTTATATGCTCACGAAACAAACTTCAGCAATCGGTTGAGTGTTATCGACAACAGAAGATGATGTCGAGGATGAGCTAACAAGTTGCTCAATTTGTAGTCAGTCGTTGTCATGAAAGACATGCCAACATTTTTTCACTCTTCCTAGGTCTCACAAGCATGGTATTCGGGTCAACAATCGGGCGCTTACAGGATGCGCCGCGGTCACTTATCGGGCCCAATATCGGTTTATACCGGGCAGCTCGCGGCATGGATGATTGGTGGTCGAGCAAGCGCCCGCGAACTTCCCGATGCAGTTGTCTGAGTACGGGCCTTAGAGGCAGTGTCCGGGCAAAAAGTCGATCCTGAGATTTTGTGCTTACCCGGGCCTATCTGCTGTGCTGAATCCGAAAATCCACACTGGAGAGCGCGAAATGGCGAAAAAAGGCTCTACATAGGAGGGAAAGAGGTGAAAAGAATTCAAACCTCAGCTTCCGGAGCGATCTTCTTTGTTCGGATTTTGAGTCAAGCGTTCGCACTTGGCCGGTGGAGATGTCAGGTCGGCTAGCGAAGTCGAGAAGAACGCTCTGGAAGCTGGGAGCGTAAATTCACAGTGGGGAAGGCTCCGCCTACGTAATGATTTCTCCCCCTCCTCCTTTAGAGCCTTTCGCCGTTCTCGTACTTTCTAGTGTGAATTTTTCTATTCGACATAGCGAATAGGCCTGGATAAGCAGAAAATCTCAAAGTCGACTTTTTGCCTGGATGCTGCCTTTATACTACCGTAACCGTCGCAGCATAATACGGAACAATCGGTGCTCCCGGCCTTCGTACTTTGAGGAGCTCATGCATCGCTATCCGTGACATACAGGAAAGGGTATAGCTTGAGACATAGAGTTTTAGTCTGTCAAGTCTGAAGAGTTAGCTATTCTCTTAACTTGATCCCTCTACCCTTAGTTTCTATCCTTTGTACTAACAGAACAGCTGACTGGATTAATTTATCATTATAACATATATGCAGTGCTGGCCAAAATTGTAGGTCCACTCTAGAAAATGTCATAACTCACTCTGTTGTGAATGAAATTTTCCAAAATTTGGTACAGACGTGTGTTTACCAGCCTACTATCAGTCTTCAAAACGGTTCTCGTTTTCGTTTGTTTATTCAAGAAAAAATTAGAAATTTTGAAAAAAGCAGGCTTGAAGGCTGGCCAAAATTATAGGTCCACCTGGAGTTTTTACTGATTAAAGCACTTCTTGGCTCCCGAATTTTTTTGGATAGGCACACATCCAAAAACGTTAAACAGCTGCTTTAGTCAAGCTGTATCATACCTCCACAAAGGACGGATTATCTGCTTTTTTGCCTTGAAGATGCTCTCACATGTATTTCGCTCCACAAACCTGCGTTGAGTAAGAAATTTTGCAGTCTCTCAGTTGGATCGGAAGGGATGGGGTTTCATCTATCTTCTGGATGCTTTTTGACGTGAGCATTGAGGAAAAAATCCGACTTTTTGCTGCTGAAGCAAATCTGACATTGACAGTACTATAATCCTGAGCTCAAATTTCTGCCTTCAAACTTCTTTTACAATGCTCTCAGAAGCATTGAGAAAGGTAAAGGCATTGTTTCTATGAAGGGGAGTCCGTATAGCATAGTTACAATTTTCTAGAGATCCTAGCATTCGAGTATAATTACTGAAATCATTCTCAGAAACTGATTACTACAAGCACCAAAGCTACTTGTGGCTTCGACCAAAATTTTCAGAAGTATCATGTGCTAACATATACTACAAGCTGTATCCACTATCCAGTAAATAATTACTGTCAAAAATCTAAGTGAGGTAGCACTTGGAAAGCTATTTTGGATTGCGTAACATCATTATTCGTTGCACACACAACTCATGTTTCGAAAAAGAAGCAAAGCAGCTTTGTGGACACTTGCGAGTATGGCGAACAGCTTTATTCTTGTGTAAAAAATGCTTCTACAGTGCCTTGAGGTTATAATGACAATGCATAAAGGTTTTAGGGTAGAAACTGAGGCTTACTCTGCCGATTAAGCCGATGTCAGATTTGCTTCAGCAGCGAAAAGTCGGATTTTTTCCTCAATGCTCACGTCAAAAAGCATTTAGAAGATAGGTGAAACCCCGTCCCTTCCGATCCAGCTGAGAAACTGCAGAATTTTTTAAGGGCCGGGCATACTTCACGCGATTTCAGCCGCGAGGCGATTTGGCAGTTTGCCAGAAGTCTTCGGATCCAACACTAGCAAACTGCACATGTATAGTGTGTATAGTATGTTACGTAAACTGATGAAGTGTCCTATCTTCTGTGCATGAACAGGGTGTCCCAAAAGTCTTTAAGCCTAGTATTTTCTCCGCTGAAAATGTACAAAGCAACATAGAAGCATGAAATTCAATAGGTAATTTGCGAAGAACCTACAAAACAACATGATACACTCAAATATCGGAAAACCCTTCTTTGGCTTTTACACAGGCTCTCAGACGCTTGCGGAATGCGTGCACCATGGCAGCCAGGTAGTTGACATCGAGATTGTCTCACACCTTCTGATGCAAACAATCCAGACTGTCCAAAATTTAGCATGGAATAGAGCAAGCCTTGCTTTCCATGACTGATCACAAAGAAAAGTCAAGGGCCTCTTGACCCGGCTATTGAAGGCACGTAAATCTGAGAAGCATATCTGTGAGATTTGACAAAAGTGTCAAAATGTAGCATTCAAGAGTTTGAGAACACCAAGAAAACAGCAATCATGATGCACTGGGAGTACTTTAAAATGGTATTTCAGTAGGAAATGCAGGGCTTACAGCTAGAATTAGTGACTCAAACTGATTAGTGTTGGAGTTCTCAGCTTTCCCAGGTTTTTGTTTCCGAGAACTTTTTCTTCTCATTGGCACTTCACAACTTCAATGTTTGTATCCTAATCCTACTCTAATGAACTGAGTCTATTGATTTGTTTTGCACTGTAGATGTTGAGTGAACCTAGCTCTACAATATGCAGTTTGAGATTGCACAACAGCTCCAAAGGCAAAAGAGCTGTAAATATTTGAATAAGGGATACGTTTTCTTCGGCTTGTCTTCACGATTGTAGTATCGTTTGCTTCAAGAAGTATATCTCGAGAATGTGCAATGCAAACGGTATGATTTTCTTGAAAAATACTGGCAACTAGACGGGGAACTCAAATGCAAAATTTGGCTGAAAAGCGAGGAATATTAACAAAGTTACTACGTTGAAAAGTTAGGCTTAAGGACTTTTGGGACACCCTGTAAAATGTGCTTGCAGTGAGTTATGGACAGTTAGAATATTGCCAAATCGCGTCGCGACTGAAATCGCGTGAAGTATGCCCAGCCCTTCACTCAATGCAAGTTTGTGGAGAGAAATACATGTGAGTGCATTTTCAAGGCAAAAAAGCAGATAATCAGTTCTTTTTGGAGGTATGACACAGCTTGACCAATGCAGCTGTTTAACGTTTTTGGATGTGTGCCTACCTGAAAAAATTCGGTAGCTAAGAAGTGCTTTAATCAATAAAAACTCCAGGTGGACCTATAATTTTGGCCAGCCTTCAAGCCTGCTTGCTTTTTTCAAAATTTCTAATTTTTTTTGAATAATCAAGCGAAAACGAGAACCGTTTTGAAGACTGATATTAGGCTGGTAAACACACGTCTGTACCAAATTTTGGAAAATTTCATTCACAACAGAGTGAGTTATGGCATTTTTTGGAGTGGACTTATAGTTTTGGCCAGCACTGTATAAATGTGGGGGAACATAACTGGGGAGGGGACCATCGAGCACCCGGGGAGTGCCAGCTCATCTGAAGTTGGTGGCACCGTCCAGTCGGCGAGGGGACTGTCGGACTCTAATTACCCTATTTTCAGGTGTAAAGTGCGGTTCATAATTATACGAACACCCAAAATTTTGTAAGTTTTTGGACTTTTTGGGAAAAACTCAAAAAGCCGTTGATACCACGCGATAGAACACAGCCGAAAACGATATATGATTCATAAGAATGGAAATTGATGTCAATCTTAGGAGTGTTTTTGCGCTTAATGCGAATTTTTAGCGGTTCATAATTATACGAACACCTCAAACAAAGGTCCATTTCTCTTCAAGATTGTAATCATTTGAGTCCAAATTTTTTTGTAGAGTTACAGTAACAATGTCTGACATATCTGCTACACACTAAACCCAGTGGAGTTCAAAAAGAGGACCGTTACTTTTTTCTGAAGGCGCTAAATGCCTTTGGAGTGATTGCGCTCCAAAAACATCCGTTCTTCTGTGGTTTACGCGCTTTAAATAGCTTTTACCAAAACTATGAGATAAAATAAGCTCTTTCGATAGGTATTTTGTTTGACGCTTGGAAAATCTTTGCGCTTTCGTGCCGTTTTTCAACTAAGTTCCAACCTTACCCTAGAGTTAGCACGATTTCGAGTCTCAAAACTCAGCTTCTGAAGCCGACAATGAAGTAAGCATATAGTATGTAGAAGTTCACAAGACTATATATTTGGCTAGAGAAAATCAGCAGCGTTGAGCGTTTGTTTTGGCCACGCAGGCGTCATTTCACCAAAAACACTGTTTTTACTATTGCAGTCACACCTTTATTTGGTTTGTAGCTCCACAGCCTCAAGATCAGTTCTACAAAAAACCCAAAAACTTTGGCACAGAAACATCATCATGCAAACAATGCAGCTGCTTCATATTAAATGTTTGCACAAGAGAGAAGCTGAGTATTGAGGCTCGAAATCGTGCTAACTCTGTGATAAGGTTGGAACTTGGTGGAAAAACGGCACGAAAAAGCAAAGATTTTCCAAGCGTCAAACAAAATACCTATGAAAAAAGCTTATTTTATCTCATAGCTTTGGTAGAAGCTAATTAGAGCGCGTAAACCACAGAAGAACGGATGTTTTTTGAGCGCAATCACTCCAAAAGCATTCTGAAAAAGTAACGGTCCTCTTTTGAACTGCACTGGGGTCAGTGTGTAGCAGATATGTCAGAGTTTGTGTTACTGAAACTCTACACAAAATTTGGACTCAGAAAAATTGCAATCTTGAATGGAAAATGGACCTTTGTTTGAGGTGTTCGTATAATTATGAACCGCTAAAAACTCGCATTAATCGCAAAAACACTCCTAAGATTGACATCAGTTTCCCTTCTTAGGGATCATATACCATCTTCGGCTGTGTTCTATCGCGTGGTACCAACGGCTTTTTGAGTTTCTCTCAAAAAGTCCGAAAACTTACGAAATTTTAGGTGTTCGTATAATTATGAACCGCACTTTATAAGCCGCACCCTTTTTGCTCTAAACGCGAGCAGACCCAGGCGTGCCGCCGCGCGTATGCCTCGCAAAGCGGTCAACTTATCACATACTGCTCTCACTTAACGCGCTCCATGATGACAGTCAGTCTTTTGGCGTGTTCGCTTTTAGAGCGAAAAGGGTGCGGCTTATACACCTGAAAATAGGGTAGTCTGCATCTCGACATGTCCGTTCCATGGCAAAGCTCGTCCTCAAGCTTTTGGAGTCTGCTATGATAATTTGGTTGTCATCATCGGATTCGTTTGACGTTGCCCATATGCATTTGAGGTGTCATCGATCGATTTGATTGAACGTTGCCCATATGTGTGGTTGAACATTGCCCATATGTATAGTTGATGTTGCCCATATATCATTTGCTGCTTTGGTTGAGGGAGAATTGCTTCAGGCGTTAGTCGCTGGATTTTTCTTCACGAGGACAGGGGGAAAGGGATGGGAAGCTCCTGAGATGCCTGCAAGTTGTTCAAAATTTGTCAAATTATTGTAGAATTATATGTCCATACCATAGCTTATCATGCTCTGTAACGACAAATGTTCGGAATATAAGTTCCGTTCCTTCGTCGTCTTCGAACATAATTCATTTTGCTGTTTGCTGTCAATTTATGTATTATTCCATGCGTTATTCCATGCTCGTAATCTCGTTTTCTACAACACTGCTCATTATTTCTTCGGGATGTCATATTCCCGTATAACACATTTCGTCACCAGTGCGGTCTTTATCCGCCTCCCTAAACCCTATGTCACATTTTACCACCATGCGGAATTCCCTATCCGCCTCCCCAAATGACTACGGAAGCCATGTCCGTACCCCAGTTTGCTCATCATTCAGACGTTGCTTCATTTATCCTCAGCTCGAGACAGCTCCTTCTTCTGACAGGGCGTGCGAAAGCGTGCCTTCTCATCCCTTTTCCCCTGTCCTCGTGAAGAAAAATCCAGCGACTAACGCCTGAAGCAATTCTCCCTCAACCAAAGCAGCAAATGGATATGGGCAACATCAACTATACATATGGGCAATGTTCAACTACACATCTGGGCAACGTTCAATCAAATCGATCGATGACACCTCAAATGCATATGGGCAACGTCAAACGAATCCGATGATGACAACTAAATTACCATAGCAGACTCCAAAAGCTCGAGGACGAGCTGCGTCTCGACAAGTCACATGAGATTTCCTTTTGTAAGTCCACAACTTTTTCTCATAAAAGGTTCGAGGAGTGCATAGATTCCTACTACTGAATCTGTGTGCGAAATTCCAGGGTTATTACAATATGCAGCGAGACTCGAAATGAAAAGGCTTCAGCGCCAAAAAATATCTGTGATGTATTACTTGCAAACTTCTGGTGTCATCCAATATGCTGAATAGTTGATTTGCCTGTTTGCAGATGGCTGCAGGCCAAGGTGACGGTGGGAATTCTGCTTCACATGCTTATTATCGCGAGATAGTTCGACAGATGATGTTTGCTAATGGAGACCTTGAAGATCCTATACCAACATGTATCGATATGGTGTTGGACATGGCAAAATTTCAAATGGTGAAAGCACTGGAGGATGCGTGGCAAAAAGCTCAGGCTGAAAAAAGAGACACAATTATGCTGGAGGATGTGCTCGTCCTGTTCAAGCATCACAAATTTATCCTGAACAGATTGCTACAATTTGCGAGAACAGCAGAAAGTGTAAACGAATTGAAAAGAGCAGCTCCTCGGACGGCGAAATTGGATGAAGAACGTGAAGAGGGAAGCGATCAGGAGGATAACGCTGTTCCATCAACAAGGTACTTTCAATTTTTTCCATCTAACAAAACTTGTGAGGAAATATGGCGATTCGTCGCACACAGAGACTGGACGTGGTTGCGTATGATGAAGACAGTATGTGTACGGGAGAGACAGCAGACGGTTAGAGGAATGAAAATGCGTTGATCTGAGAGACGCCGACAAGGTCCGCAGTGGGTGGACGTCTCTGCATGCGGATGAATCGTTTATACCATTTGATTTAACGGGATTGGAGGCTGGAAGATGAGGTTTCAAGGCCTAATAAAGACTAGGAAGTGATCAGAGAACACGCTTGCGGGAGAGACGCAGACTGCGTCGCGGGTGCGAGCGGTCGCCTTCCACCCGCCAGTCCCGTTGATTCAAAGGGTACACTTCTTATGCTAGACTTTGATTTAACCATACTGAATATGATTATGAGACTTTTAGCATGTTCGACACCAGTCTGACTCGGATGAAGGCTGTTGTCGACTCGTTGAACCTTGGCGAAACCGCAGATCAACTTCTCGAAACGCGAGATGTTGTTTATGAAGAGAGAAAAAAACGTATCGCTCATCTTGGCGATGATATGTCACAAGACGAATTTCTCAAATTCACCGAAGCACGGCAAGCCACCTTCAGGGATGACTCGAAGCAAAGAACAAAATTGTAAGTTTTTTTCAGATAGGCAGACACCATTGGTGGTGTCTGTCTATCTAAACTTCAAGAAGTTTTTGTGAAAGCGAAGACAGTTTATTGAGAAGTGGCGTTAGCCACTCAACTCAAAAATACTCGGGATTTACCACTGACAGATATCAAAATCCACTTCATGCTGCACTAGTCACGGTAATATACTGTAGCTGGTGCCGTCACCATCAGTAGAAGCAATTCATAATTTGGGTACCTGAACTTCTCAAACTTCTAACTTATCTACAGTTGGGAAGCATAACTAAGCTATTATAAAAGCCTTAGCTCATGCGATTTATTTGACCGGAAAAGTTCAACTTTGAATTCTCGCCCATACCGTACTCGAAGACGCTGATTTACTTGCAAAGATCATTGTCTGGACGAAAATTTGGTGTTTTCTCGATCACAAATAAATTTCACGAGCTCGCTTAAAGGCAGTGGGTCGGCAAAACTCAACAACTCAGGATTTCAACGCGGTGGATTCCTTATCGCCCAAGTTTGAAAACATTGCAGTCCCGGTTGCACAGCATGCCTTCCCTGTCGAGAAAATTGCCCTCAAACTTGCACGCGCAGACAAATTTTACACGCATCCGGACGAGTTGGCAGATTCCTTCTGACCATCGGAGGCTGCCCGCCGCAATGCTATAACTATTGAGTCCTGCAACGACTCAGCGTCACCAGCCTAGCTCCACTCGTCCAATTCCGAAAAAAAGGGCATTGAAAAACGCTCATTTTCGGCGTTTTCAAGCTCTCAAAAGTGCATTTTCGGTATCAGCGTTTGAATAACCCCATGTAAGCAGAAATTTCACTAGGTTGAGATTTGCCGAGCCACTGCCTTTAAGCGATGGTTCGGTTATGGCGCAAACAGTTGACAAAAGAAACCCGGTTTGTCAGGTGTCTGGACGCTGTCTCGAGCAGACCAGTTTTAAAATTATTGAAAGTCTGCAATGGTTGCTGAAGTTTCATGATTGGCGAAAGGACTACCCGTTGGTTCTACTGGCTCGGCGGCTGGAAGGCGGGGCTTCATAGCCTAAGGAAGGCTAGGTAATGATCAGAGAGCACGTGCGCGCGAGAGAGATGCAGATTGCGTCGCGGGCGCGAGCGGCCTTGATTAGGTCACAAAGCCCCGCCCCCTAGCTCAAGCCAGTTGATCAAAGCTTAAAATGGCTTAGTCTATCTCAGAATTTTGCTTATTTCCATTGGCATATGATGAATAATCGATTTAAAACGAAAACAAAAAAAGAACAATTCGAAGTTTTTTATAGATTCAGGTTTCCTTTCCAAGAATTACATGACATGTTTTTTTTTAGAAAAAACGAATCTGGTAATCTTTTTCAATGGCTGGGTGCTCCGCAATGCGAGAATGTCGTTTCTTTTGTTTTGGCTTTCATTGGGCGTGAAGTGGTGGCTCAATATGTGGGTGCTGCTGTTGCGATACGAGATAATGAGGAACCAAATCTGTTTGTGAATGACAACCAACATGGACAGATAGCTGCTCCAAATGAAAAGGTCCCACTTCAGGTAACTGTATCGTGATTTTAATTGTTTTTTTACAGAGCTTAGCCAGCTGTAAAAGGAGAGGCGGTTTAGCATTAAATAGCCCCTATCTCAGGTCCGACATTACAATGAAGCCCTTCGCCGATGTATAGGTTGGAGACGTCGCAAAGATTTTTTGTTTGGCTATCACACAGAGGATGAAGAATGTACTCCTGCGAAAAAATTGAAATCTGAAGATGGCGAAGCCTCTCAACCTCCGTGATTCTACATTTATGCATGTGTGATTATCAACATATCAAAACCACTTGTATGGTTTTACTGTCGTAGAATTCATACAGGTCTTTCTAGAAATTTTGTGCGGTTTATCTGAATAAGAAAATTCAAAATATTCTAGTGAACTAACGCTGTCTGCAGTACAATTCTCCGTGTATAAACTTGATGGAAATATTTCAACCTATGATTCTGCTTATGGGACGAAAAATAGAGGTCTTACATTGGTTCTATACTTCGTCATTATTAACACTTGTGTATAACCCAAGAATCCAAGGCAATAAAGTAAAAAAGTTTTTTTTTGAATTTTTGGGTGCTATGGCAAATAGCCAGGCAGCAAAACAAGTAGATCTCATTTCCTTGTAGTTTATGTTGCATAAATACATATCATTTGCAAATTCTACAGTTTTTTCTCAGATTTATTTTTCAATATCGGAAAGATCATAGAAATGTGTCTCTTGGATGTCTCAACTTCAGTTCGTAATTTTAATAGATTCCCGTTCGTTTCACTCTTGCTATTGTGAATAAGAAGAGTCCTGCAGCCAGTAGTAGAGATCCCTGGAATAGGTGAATTCAATGTGAACTATTTTTTATAGATAATTATAAAGGGAAAATAATGTTATGCTTATGAAAATTTGCCACAACAACTGTGATTCTCGTTTTTTTTATTGGAAAAAAAACTTCCAGTTTCAGAATATTCATTGCATAGTGACTGTGCAGTCATTTGCTTCTGTAATCTTTTAGACAGTCTTACCGAAATCTCCTCGTTTGGAAGAAAAGAAAACAAAAAAAAGGCCAGAAAGTTCCGCGTAAATCTGTCTTTCTGCAAAAATTGCCTTTTTGGATATAATCTGCATGAGTGAAAATGTGAATCTATATGGTTGTTCAAAAGAATATGATGGATTACTAATCAATATAAGAAGTCGCAAAAAAAAAATTCTGTTGATCATAACTCTATAAGAAAAACCCACCGAAACAATGGCGACACGTCTGAGCCATCGTGCCTCGCCAATGTTTCTGGGAGCCATCGTCGAATGATGCATATTTCTCCCTGCTCGCAGCTGATACCAGTCCCATCCAAGGAGAACTGAGCCAACTGCACATAGTACGCAACCAAATACGTTCCAAATCAGTTCCTTGAAAGTGATGTCTCAACTGTGCAAAGCAAATTTGCCTGACGCACGCGCAAGCTGCGACGCAGCTGCAATGTGCGCGGCATGGTAGTATGTTTAAGATTCAGCAAAATGTAAAAATGCATTGTTATAAAAGCACTCACAATCTGTAACCAAAATATCTGTTGAGATGATTTGGGCACTTCAAAGTAGTGGAGCAGCAAAGTTAAGAAACAACCAGCTGCAAGAAGGAATGCCAGGGCGTAGATCATAGTGTACGCTTCCCATTGTATCCGTCCATCGATAAAAAATACAATAACGAGTAGAAGACATACCTGAAAATGCTGAATCAGGACAGTGGTAGTGAACTGCCATCTTGCGCGCGCATGTGAGATCTATTTTTGCGCTTTTCGGCGTCAATTTTTCAAAATTTGCTGTGTTGGACGCAAATGCACAAGTGCGTATGCTTTTGGCTTGAAGTATAGCGGACAAGCATTTTCAGTACCCTACTGTTTATCACTTTGAATTCAAGAGCGTGAAGTTTTTCTTTCTTTTTTTTTGCTTTTTAGTTTTCTGCAAACATACACTAGCAAGTCATTCGATCCTTCAGGTACACAGCAAATTTTTTACAGCTTTTTTCTCCCCCTTCCCACTCTATGTTTTTTTTCCGGTAGGTATCACGTGAATACGGAAGCATTGTAACATGTCTTGAAGGTGGCTGCCGCCTCCATACTCGTGACCGCAATTGTCCGGTTAGTTTACACAAGATGATGACAGCATTTATTGAAGCACATCATGTGCGACTAACTAGCACATCTGCCCACTTCAAGTGCAGCAGATTTGCCCAGAACTGCTCATGAGACCTTATAAAAGTTGAATCCGGTATAAGATCGTGACTCAAAGTGTTTCAGTAAAATAGAGGTGGAGTTGTCGGAAAGAAAATGGGAAAATGTATTTCTACACTTATGGTCAAATGAGGTTTTATTTTACCTGCGCATAGAGGCAAAAGATGGTGACACGCAGCCAGCGATACTACAAAATGAAATTCATTTCAATCTCGTGAAGGAGCATTTTAGTTCAGTTCATCTATTTTTGCATATTTTCACCATGCATGAATTTTCTATTCGTCATACTGCAGATTTTGGTAGCTTTTTAATTGTCAAAATTTATTAGGTTGTTGCAAAAGTTCTGTCGTTTCATTTTCAAAAATTTGTAACTCCGCGAAATTTCAACGGATTTGATTGCTTGTAATTTTATTAGAAAGAATAAGTCTTTCGCTTTCAAATGCTTTTCCGTGGAGCTTCTGTTTCGTACTGGGTGCGGAGATAAAAATGGAAAACTAAGACCATTTGAGCTTTGACCATTTTAAGTTAGCTCACCAAAAATTTAGAATGCTGCAGAAAAATCTGAAATCCTCAGTACATAAGTTTTTTGGCCTACCCTTTGCATCTGTGAAAAGTTTGCGCTGTTTGGACGTCTGTGAGAAATTATGAATATCGAGTTTACTATGGAAAACGCCAAAATTAATTAATTTGTCAATTTTCGCGAAAATCATAACTTCTCACAGAGACGTCCAAACAGCACAAACTCTTCACAGATGCAAAGGGTAGGCCGAAAAACATATGTACCGACGATTTCAGATTTTTCTGCAGCATTCCAGATTTTTGGTGACCTAACTTAAAATGGTCAAAGCTTATATGGTCTTAGTTTTCCATTTTTATCTCCGCACCCAATATGAAACAGAAGCTCCACGGAACAGCATTTAAAAGCGAAAGACTTATTCTTTCTAATAAAATTATAAGCAAGCAAATCCGTTGAATTTTCGCGGAGTTACAAATTTTTGAAAATGAAACGACAGAACTTTTGCAACAACCTAATATAATTCGAATGTCATACCTGTTTATGGATAAAACTGATTATTCACTTGAACAATATCAAAAGCAAGTTTCTTAAGTTTGATAAACATTTCCATCGAAATTCGAAAATATATGATCCAAGCGATTTTATTCGTCATCCTATAGTCCAACGCTATCACAAGAGCAATCATCATTTGTAGCTCCAAAAAGTACATGGTCTCCCTTTCCAGATAAATCGAATTAGACAAAATTTATATTTGAAGGGACCTAGTTTTTAAAGATTTTGGTGCAGAAGTATGGGTCGACCTGATCCAAGAACTTGCCAAATATGCATACGCATCTTATCTACATGCTATCAATCAAATCACTGTATCTCAAATATAAGACAGAAAATATTATAATTAAGCCAAAAAGTGGTCCATGCAAGATATACGGGAAAAGTTCCGCCTACGTAATTTTACTTTTTGATGCGCTCTAGGATATTGCAAAAATTAATGACGTCGATCACTGTCATGAGAGCTGTGCATGTTATATGATCATGCGTCAAAGATGTAACACATGAGAAAAACAATTCTGACGTAGAGTTATAATAGAAAAAATGTATAAAGAAATTAAAACGTTTAGCTAAATTGCCTCGTTTGATTTTTTTCAAGCAGTGAGCTGCTATATTCTTCTTTTTGCTAAGAATAAGACATCATAGCTGGTGCACTCGATTGCAAATAAGGGACCAGGCCTTTTTCCAAATTCTTTCACTCAATGATCGTAAAGTGTCTGGCACAAAGTCTGCAGAGCTGTGGGCACATGTGTTCTTTGATACATTTGCTCACTTTTTCATAGTGGAGATTACACACTGCGTTGCTAGATTTATTTTTATCATTTTAACTACCATTAATACTTTAAACAAGAAGATCGTGAATGTCTGAAGTGAGGGACAGGGACAAATGGAAACTTTTGTGCTGAGGCCCGCACACCACTTGAAGACGGGCCATCTAAGTATCTAAGTAAGTAAATATTGGTACTAAAGAATTTGAACAGGGTTAAGTATGAGTAGTCAGAGCCAAATAATACCTCTTCCTTTTCTTTTAAAAATACAAAGAGACATTATAATCGTATTTTTGAAAGGCATTGGATCTTCAAGAAATTTTCAAAAATTTTCTTAACTATCTGCAAGGGAAGATAAGCCATTTGAGATTTATAATTTGTGTAGACTATCTTGGAAATTTTCGATCCTTTTTCGGATAGTGGAGGGGGAAGGACACATTAAAGGAAGAACTAGAGATTGTTACTTACCATCTGGCATAGCTTCAAAATAGGCAGTGGTGTAAGGAACCAGGATAGGGGTCTAGTCATTTTCGGAACGAAAATGCTCCCCAACTTCCACACTTTAAATCAGAATCAAGTCGATATTTGAAAAACCAATTATTTCCAGACAGATTTTTTCAAAGAAAAAGGTGGTAGTAGTGAAGAAGAGGTCGCCTCCGGCTGACGTGAGCCGAACAGGCGTTGGCGTTCCGACGCCAGCTGCTCGTTGGCAGTTAGCCTACATGTGGGCTATTTGAGCCCGCGAGAACTCAATAACAGTGAATAAACGAACTCGTTGTTTTGTATCTGGACAACTGCCACGAGTGCTGAGACGAAGATCTGTGAGATTTGTTGGTCATTAGCACCAGACGTAGTTGAAACGTACATTATACTTTGTGTATGCATCTGCCAAAGGACCACAGGGTTGCCTTCAAGGGTGGAGTGGAAAAAAGTTTTTGACCGGAAAGTCAGAACATTCGTTTTCTCAGCAATCAGTTCTAAAGCCTCGTACACAGATGTTACACATATGTGCACTTTGTTTAACATCGTCCTCGTTGATTTGTTAGTGAACAAAATGAGAAATTGCCCTAAAATCTTGCATATAGGGCCTCCACACAGATCTCCAAAATTGAGTCCGGTACAAATAAGGCCTTATTTGACTGGATTTTAGTATAGTTATGATGGAAAAAAGCACTTATCTATAGGGCGGACTCAACTGTTATTTACGAAGTTATTTATGTCAAAAAAGACAGATGCCTTACCAGTCAGATTTTAGGATAATGGGAAGTCGATATTTATATCTACCTATGTTTTTATATTATATACTTTGCTTTGCTTTCTTTTTGAGCTGAAATTTGTATTTTCCCAACTCAGCTTACGTTTTACATCTTTTTCTTGATTTTTCTTTGAACTATAATATAAGATCGCAGGTATATAAATGGATAATGTCTTCTACGTATTACATATAGGAGCAAGTAATAGATTTGCGTGCTTCTTTGGTCTGAAGATCCGATTTTCGGCATAGCTCTTCAAAAATTTTCACTGCAAACACCAGTCCGCTTACCCTTCTGTCAATACTGCTAGGCTGCGAGTCATCACTAAGAAATTTATGATACGAAAAGGCAGCATTATATTGAATTCTATTGCAAAAAGCCTGTCTATCCATATCCGCATTGTTCAAAGCAAAGTCAGAGCACCTTTCGGTCTCCGTAATCACCGTCACATTAAGCAGTATAGGATTCCTCGCAATCGCACGCACAAAGACAAGGTGTCACTACGGCTGTCGGCGTCTCTCTGGTCAAGCGTTCTATCATCCCTCTTTCAGTCTGCTGTCTCTCCCATACACGAACTGTCTTAGTCAAGGTTCAGCAGAGGTGGCGCTTTTACACGCTGGATGTCGTTTTTTGAATCGAGAGGAAATTGGAACTCGTGTAAAGCTTCCATACGGAAACTTGACGAAATATTAAGGGCCGGGCATACTTCACGCGATTTCAGTCGCGACGCGATTTGGCAATTTGCCAAAAGTGTTCAGATCCAATTCTAGCAAACTGCACATGTATAGTGTGTATCACTTACGTGGATAAATAAAATGCCCTATCTTCTGTACATTTGAAATGTGCTTACAGTGAGTTATTAACAGTTGGAATACTGCCAAATCGCGTCGCGACTGAAATCGCGTGAAGTATGCCTGGCCCTTTAGAAAGCACAACTCTTACTCTTAGCAAGCCCCGATAGGTCTCCCGTGATTTTACCATTACAGGTAATTTGACATGTTACAAAATTGCGCGTAAACCTGTGCGCACACAATTTCAACATGTCAAAACCAATCTGTTCACAAAAATACAAACACTCCGTTCGTTTACGACGAGTTAGCAATACTGAGCAACCAAATTTGGTGTGTACATATCGGCGATGATCAGAAGAGAAGTACAAAAAATTGAAAAAGATTTATATGAACGAAAGGATGTGTTTTTCGATTTTAGGTTGCTCCCGCGCAACATGGGAGCACCCTGAGGTTGCGTAGGACTACATTAAGTCACAAATCTTCGCTACTCTCCTTTTTCCTCGCATAAAATTTTACATTTTCTTACATAAGTCTATTCTATAGATCAAGCTCTACCTACAAGTGCTCCTTAACCCAAGTTTCGTCCCCTATGCTTTGTTACGGCTCCTGATGATATTAATAGCCTTCTTTCGCAACTCGCTATTTGAATTCTGATTCATTCTTGTGTTTCCTTCACTTCAATCCATTTTTTCTTTGCGGATTATTAGAAGAGCTTCTACGAACACTATACACTATGTTATCTTCTGCAATGTCAAGGGGGGATTCGCTTTTAAAGTACTCATATATAATCTCGTGCTGGGCCCTGGTCTTAGTCGGACGCAGCGAAGTTCGGTCTCTGCGTGCGATGAAATATCGGAGTGCTGCCAAGTTGAAGAGGCTGAGTTTGCAAAGAAAAATGTTACTTTTCAAATGTGCTGCCTAGATTGAGTCATTTTCGTTGATAGAACTATCATCATTAGAATAGTGCACGGCAATCAAAAATCCGCACCTGCGAGCTCAGGCCAAAAGAGCAGGAGAAGTTAATTGATTGCTTTTGCGAAGTGGCTGATATTTGAACTATGGTAGGCGTTACTGAAAAAACACGATTTGACAATCCAGTGTGAAGGAGGTGTGAAGAGTTTTAGAATTAGATGTTAGCGAGACCAGTGATTCGATCGAAGTAAGAAAAAAGCGAAAGGGGTGTTTTAGTTTAACAGTTTCTACGCTAAGCGCAATGCCACTTAAGCAGCAAGCTACTGTCTATTTATCCAGCAGCAAATTTGCTTCCGTTCATTGTTGTTCTCTTTCTTGGTTTGTTAAAAAATAGACATCTCTATCTTCTTTTTCATTTTCGGAAGTTTGCAAAACAAAATCACCTCTGAGATACTAGAAGTACTATTAGAATCAAAAGTAGCACAGCTTCGACATCAGTAATGTCATTGGAAAAAGAAAGCACAAGTTTGAAGAAATTACTTGGAGACATGATTTATCCGCAGGGAAGAACAATTACACTGACCTGCAGCTTGCTAGATTTGGAAAGCACTCGTTCTGAAAAGCGCTCTCGCTGCGGCGGGTGCGCCTCATGCCTCGGAAGGGTACTTGCAAGAGGAGGATATTAGTGGCCTTCTGAAGAAAGATGTGAGCCGGTACACTCATCTTGAATACGCTAATAACAGTTCTACTTTTTGCTAAATATTTCTTTGAAGGAAGTTATGAGAAAATTTTGCGTTGAATTTCATGGTAGTACGACAAAACCAGTGAACTGACATAGCGAGGTGGATGTTCGATCTACTTCATCAACTTCATCCCATGTTGCTATTGGTGAGTTCAGTAATTTGACCAATAGTGAAGTAGATGAAGTGGATCGGGAAGATCAAGTACGGCATGCTTCCTACTTTGCCACAATCCTATTGCAGAATATGTTGATGTTGGCTTATCACATATCATTCCAGGATATCAATATCATCACACGACAAATTGTTTCACATGGCATCTTCATTTACTAATGCATCGAGCCACTACGGTGCCATCTTCTGCTGTACGTTGAATTTGGCTCTGTCTCAATCATCCGAACTAGTCTGTCCACTCACTAAGAAGCTTTTGTGGCAGAGGGCGCCGCTGGGTTTCCAAGCAGACCTTTCTAAGTAGCTAGTAGGCTCGTAGACTGTGATGTGCTCGATGCTATAGCGTAGTTTTGAACACTTTAGAATTCGATTTTGGCCGATTACTAATAGCGGCAGAAGCTGCTTGTTGCGTGGAGAAGCTACCTGGATTTGGTCAATCAGTCATTCTTCAGGCTCTATCACAAGATTCGCATTTGGATGATCCAAAGCTACAAAATCCCCAGTCATGTCAATCAAATTACTGTCTGTCCAATGGAAAAGACAAGGTCAGTTGTGAGCAACAATATTGTTTGAATAGAATCACATAAAATTGTGCAAATCCCCAATTTTCTAAATATTCACAGTGACATTCTTTTGCAAAACTGCATCAGCACAAATATCGTCTGCTCTATTCTTTATAGCTCTATCGCTTTCCTAGCAGCAGAGTCGCGAAGTGAATTTTTGAAGAAAGTGTGGTTTGAAAACTACCTAAAGGTTGATTGTAACCTTTTAGCAAACAATCAGAGTCACTACTTCTGCACTTGAAATTCTTCGACTTTTACTACGTCACCTCTGCTTCGCAGAGGTTTGCACTGCTCAGAGAATCAAATGCTCTCAGCCGGCAGCCACAAAGCCACCGCCTAGACCCACCAAAAGCGCGGTGGCCTCATCGCCTCACTGTCGTTTCCCGCTGAGAGCTTTGTCGGAGTTTTGTCGGAGCTTGTCGGAGCGGGCTCAGCGGGCAGCGAGCCCGCTCCGACAAGCTCCGACAAAGCTCCGACAAAGCTCTCAGCGGGAAGCGACAGTGGCTGCGATAAGGCAACGACGCTTTTGGTGGGGCCCGCTGAGAGCCTGTGATTGTCTGAGTGGCTCTACTATCCGTGCCTTCTTCTTGATAACATAAACAGTGCGTCACCTCTGCTTCGCAGAGGCTCGCACTGGCTCTACTATCTAGGCCCTACTCATTCTCGCATAATGATGGCATTGGAACTCACCGAGCATTGCCGACTATCACGGACAAAATGTAAACAACTACTTATTCCAAAAGCTTTTCAATGTGAAATTGGTGATTTCGCGTGGGTGAGACATTTTGTAGGAGAACAAACAAAAATTTTTATAGGTTTTTGGTTTTCCCATGGTTTTGACAGTTGCAATAAGAACAGCAGTCACCGTGAGCTACACCTTTGTGCAAAAATCTCGTCAAATGTCCTGGTAAAAGCTTGGCAAAATGACCGTTTACGCAACCAATACTTTTTGGCGTTGTTTTTGTAAAGTAATGGACTTTGATCACTTATTTGGGCCTAAGTTCATCGCTTGCACATTTACATGACATAAACATCCACGACTCTGCAAAAATTGGTATTACGGACCCAATTTTGCGGCTCAAATGCAAATTGGATCCGTTTGGAGCGCAGTTTCTGAGGGATCCACTCAATGAATCTTGTCGTGATTTTGCATGCTGGACTTTCATGCGGGTAGCATGCACTGTGCAAAATTTGAGCCCAGGAGGTTGGCTGGAACACGCTCTACGAATTTCTTAACAGACACACTCTCACACACACAGACAGACACACAAAGTCACGTAAACATCCTTAGCCCGTTATTA